AATATGCATCGATATAGAAAATTGTAAATATCTCGAAAACGATCACGTCCAGCGTTGTTGAGGCATTGTACCTTTTTTACTTGGAAAAGGTGTGGGAATTAGGTTTTTTCATGAAAAGTCCCGAAAGTTTACTGTCAGAAAAGTTAGGGCAATTTGAAATAAATAATGACAGCGTACACAGCGCCATCTAGGTGTTACATGAAAATTAATACGAAATTATGATTTACCACGTCAAAAAACCCCGGGTACCGAATTTTCTGCAAATAACTTATTTTTTGCGAGAGTTATTTTCAAAAAGCGAACAAAAAAATTCAATTTCAACACCCCATATCTCCGAAAAGAAGTATTTTTGGACACAGGTTCATATAGACTTTTTCATTTTAAATTGTCCCAGGAATATGTCACTTGATATTTTAACGTACTTATGTTACACCCTGTATAGGAAGTTACTTGAGACGAATTTTCTAAATGGAAGACGTTGCACAGGTGCAACTTTACCTTTCTGTGTTCAGAAAGGTTTCCGCGGTCAGAAATCTAATAGTTTGAAGTTCGCATTTTGTGTTTTATTGTCAACTGTCGGTCCATAGGTTCTGGTCTGGTATTTATTTAGGTCACTGGACGAGTGGTGAACGGGACCGGCAGTGGGGCCGATGGTGTAGTTGGTAATGGATGTTTACATTTTCATTTATTTTGCCAAACACATCTGAGAGCTACATTGAAATGTTTTTTGTTCTTTCACTTCATTACTTGACTCACGAATGCTTTTTCTCGGTAATCAGAAAAACTATAATTATTATTGATCACTACTGAAATAACAAAACTCGATTCTTTAACAATTTACCGGAATCCGAGTACTCTTCGTATTATTTTTAAATAGGTACGTCATATTGCTCTCATTATCTAACGCAAATTGTATGCATATTTGCCGAAATCTGAAAGTCCATGGTAAACTCCAATAAACTTCGAAATGAACTTCTTTTCAATTGATAAACCATCATCTGATACGTTCTCCACTTGTTGACATCAGTTGACGGGATACTGTGCAATATTGCCTGATCCTGCACAATATTTTTCAGAATACTCTACATATTTTCAAACGATTCCATTTCGTACAATACACTGCCCAACTTTTCAGAATCAGAAACACATATTCAATTTTATTGCACCCCCTTCAATATCTTGCGTGTACAGACTGCTCATTGGAATTATTTTCCTGCAAATATTTCCGTAAACAGCATATAGAATTCCGTTTGAGTATTCGAGGGATTTTATTTCTACATACCAGGTACAGCATCGGGCTCAGGTGTGACCACTGCGGAACACCCGAAATTAGTACAGAAGGTTCACATTTTCACTATAAGTATGAGCTTTCCATCGCAGGAGGTTACCCTGCATACCGACCTGAGTAAGTTTGGAAATGAGTTAGTTGAAAAATTAAATGCAAAAGCTCGTTCTCGAAATATTGTCTCCACAATGAAAACAAAAAAGTATTTCAATATTTTAGGAATATTTTGAATATACCTATTACTTATGTCATGGAAAATAATATTAAAAGTTGAGAAACCGTGGAATCATAGGACATAATCATAAGACGAACTGGCACCCGAACTCCGAAAAATAGAGAAGCTTAAGCCGATGTAAATAGTGCTGATAGTTCATCTTACTTGAAACACTGGTTCACCTTCCAAGGGCTTCCAAATTTTGTCATATATAGCAGGAGATATGTTGACGATTTTTCGGAAAGCCAAGCCATAATCACTATTGGCCGATATAGAGGCAAATAAAAATTCCATATCGGGATACGATGGATCTGGTTCAGATGAAATATTGGTTCTCATGAAAGTTACTGCTTCAATTCCACCTGGAAAATTATTGTTCAGATCAATACCTTCAAGTAAATGAAATATATTCATATATTTTTGGAATGAACTCTGAGGCGTTTCGATATCATTTCCTGATTATTTTGTTACAGAATATCAGCTTAATTTAATAACTTGAATGAATAAAAAAAAAACTGAAATGATAGATATGTTTTTCCCAATATTCACACATGTTTTTATTATCATTAATGAAATTCTATGACGAATCAAGTTTTTCTAACCCATTAAGCGTCGTTGATGCGAAAAGTCAACGTTACATTAACATTTATTTTTTACAAAAGAAAGTACCAATATTCTCATTTTTCTTTCAGTTTCATGTTTGCCAAATGTCATTGGTGACTCATTATTTTTTTGTGGAGATAACATCAGGTTTTTCTTTTTTTCATACAACTTACAAATTTGCGTAATTTCATTATTCAGTCATCCTATTCAAAATCATCCTGTAACTTCAGGATAGCAAAACATGTTCATCTCGTTATTTGGCATTTTACGAAGGAAATATAGTTCTCGTGGAGTGACAACGATATATATGTATCCAAAAAAATACAATCATTCTAAAATAATGTTGCGTTTTCGCAACATCGGCGTAAAATGCTAGCAATGGAATTAGAAATGTACTGGAGAAGAGATGAAGACAAAGGTGTAGCGCTTGTGAAAAATTGTATGAGTAGAAACGAATTTCGAAATATAAAAAGAAACCTACATTTGTGTGATAATGCTGCGCTAGACAAAAACGACAAATTTGCTTAGTTACGTCAATTATATGATTCTATAAATGAAAGGAATTTACAATTCGGACTGTTTTCACATAACCTTTCAATCGACGAAGAAATGGTTCCATACTTCGGCAGACACTTTGGTAAAATGTTTATAAAAGGAAAACCATTTCTTTTTGGATATAAACTATAGTGCCTATGTTCAGAAGATGGATATTTATTCCAGTTTATGCATTACGGTGGAACAAGAAAATAAAAAACCGAAATGGGACTTGAAGCACATGTTGTCGTCAGTTTGCTGACCCTTCCTCAAACAGGGTATTCTATGATAACTTTTTCTCGTCCTATAAGCTTTTTTCATTCCTTGGCGAAAGACACATATATGCAACAGGTACGATACGAGACAACCGAATTTCGAATTGTAAGCTGTAGTCAACAAGAACCATAAAAAAAGAGAGAGTATGTTTCGACTACAGATTTGATTCAGAATCAAAGTCATGTGTTGTGAGATGGAACAACAATTCCGATCAATATTTCTATAAATCCAGATTAACCTGTAAAGCGCTATGGCAGGAAACTGAAAAAAGAAATAAATATACCGCAACCATTGGTGATAAACGAATATAATAAATACGGCGGCGTTGATCTCCATGACAATGGAATTGCAAATTATCGCATTGAAGTGCGCGGAACGAAGTGCAACATAACATCAAGTGGGCTTAAGCCGAAATCATCCACAAGGAGGAACATTGGTTTAAGAGAAAATTCAAAGGAGTCGCATATATGTTGTCCAATAACGCATTTAGTCAAGCTAGCGTAGAGATACGTAACATATGGAAACCTCTAATCAAGCGAAAAACGACCAACTTCCGCCAAACGGTCATCTCCCGCTAAAACCAATGAAGCGGATAGAGGAAAGAGGGGATAGGTGAAAGCACTCGAATGACCTATAAATAGTCAGATCTCGGAGGAATAAGTCCAGTTATCACCCGGAGACGATTGTGGATACTAATAATCGAAACGTCGTGAAGTATCTTGGTTTGGAATCTTTTAACTTTTCATTTTCATTTCTTGTTAATAATTTTTTGCTTTTCATCTCGTGTTAATAGTTCAATTACTTCTGGCAAATTCCCAATTGGCTTCGAGTGAGTTCGATTACCATATATGAATGCTACTTTTCACCCCAATCGACAAGTCACGTTTTGCGGACAGTGCAGCACGGAGCGATCTAATAAGGCGAAAGACATTTAAATATCAGTGAGGTAATTAACATTTTATTATGAAGAAGTACTCACCTAACGTTGTTAACATTCCTGTAGATTCTTTAAAATATTGCAAATACGTGGAAGGAGTAATTGTTTTTCTCAGTATATTTATGCCGATACTTTCATTCAGACGAAACACCATTCCAGGAAAAGTGGCGTGATCATACAACTGAGCCCCTACTGGTAAATCCTGAATAATGGGAATACCTGCAATAAGATGGGTAATGTCCGTTAATTATTGATCTGAATTGTTTTGTTTTGTTGACTGAGAACAAAAGACAGTTTGGAAAGCAGTAGAGTAATGATTCAATGACCAATTCGAAATTATTTTGCTTTTATGGTCCTGAGGATAGAGAATGAGTAATTCGAATGAATTCGACGCTTCTCCTTCTCCACAACGGTTCAATATCCCCTTGGACGTAGGGCAACACTGCATATTATTTTTCAAGAATGGGCTGGTCTGGCCCATCTTCGAAGCCACGATACATTCAGGAGGACACGCCAGCATTATCAAACATTGACATCTCCTCACATGCTGCTGAAAATGATCATTGGGTCTGAGAATCATGTGCTCTTGGCAGATGTAGTGAACCAAGAATGACAGTCCTTTGTATTTGTCCGGCTAAAATTTCGGAAGTGAAAAAGGCATCATTTTTCCGAAGACTCCAATAATCTCAACAACATTTCTGACTGAAAGGTTTGGATAGTCTGTGGAGTCCGAGATGAAAATCCCGACAATTTATCCGGGTCTCCTTCTCTTTTCGAACAATATTCGTCTCGCCGGGAGCTGAAAACTCCTCGACAAATATTGTCTTGGTCTGATGGCTACATTAGGTTTAATAAACTAAAGGAACTTGAAGGTATGGAGTGATAAAGCATTCTTAGGGCCGTGTTATGTCAATAGATATATGGTGAGACCGAATATCGGGCCTCAAACGCTTCGCATCAGGCCCCGCACTTTGTTTCATGAACCTCTGTACTCGTCACGTCACTGCGGTATATCGGTGTTGGAGACATTATACTGGTGGGCCATGATGAACCCCTCAGTTTTCGACGTCAGCTCACTCGACCTGAGGAAAACGAAGATCATGTGCTTTGATTAGCCAAGGTTTTCAATTTCGTTGAAGAAGAATGATCACTGCGGTTTTCATATGGGCCTTTAGCTGACGGGTTCCAAGTCGGTGACAGAATTGTGACCACCTCATTTAGTGTCGGTAACAAAACCTAGTTTATCAGCTGCTCGCGCAGCTGCCCTGAAGAGAATTGCTTCAGTTTCTGTTCTTTCTCCTGACGACCTTACAGGCCCCTTCAAACTCACGGCCTTTCTGTTATCGGGGAAAGTACAACCATCGAATGAACGATTCGGTATGCAAACTTCTGTAGAGATGCATCATGTTTTGGTAAGTATACATATCTCCGGCATTCAGATGGTGCAGGATGCATCCATCTACGAGCTACACATCCTCTCCGTGACCTCGGCATCGTCCTGTTTCCAGACACATTTGGGTCATCCATATAGAACGAATGCCTACGGTTTGTTCGTGAATAATTCGTAAACCTGCTGATGAAAATGCTCGTCAACAACTCACAACACGAATTTAAGCATGTTATCGGTCTGTAATTTTTAGGAATTGACAAAATCTTCGCTCGCAAGCTCGTGATTTCGTCCTTCCGACTTGAGGATGAAGATTATTACTTATGATTTTTAGCAATATGAACTTGGATATTGAAATAATAACAGTAAAGTAATTCACTTCAAACTAGTAATGTATAGGAAGGTAGAGAAAATGCAGTAAGCATCTACTCACCAAATTGTTCTAAATGTTGTTTGGGTCCTATCCCAGATAGCATGAGAATTTGTGGAGAATGTAGACCACCAGCAGATAAAATAACTTCTTTGTTAGCTAAAGCGTAATGAACTTTTCCATTTTTGATATACTCAACACCGTAAGCAGTTTTACTTTCTTCATCTATGAGTACTCTAGTAACTCGAGATCGTGTTTGAATTTTCAAGTTGGATCTCTTCCGTACAGGCCTTAGGAATGAATTTTCAGCATTGGATTTCTTTCCTTCACGTGTAGATGCCTGAACATAGGATACCTGAAAAATATATGATTTGATGAAGAAATGATATGATGCAATATTCTAGGAGGACAATGTGAATAACAAAAAGAACAAATCAATCAACTTCAGAATTGTAGGGTTTTGCTGACGAGTTGAAAAAATTCATTCCAGAATCCGTCTTAGGTCAAACGGTAGCTAGTTGGTTAGTGAGTTCTATTGAATACTTCGAACACTTTGCGTCCCACTCCACAGTCGATTTTCTGGAAAAGGTAGCACCCACTATTCCTACACTAGAATTCATAATTCCGGAAATTACTTTTCGGCAATGTCTAGTCAGGTGAATTTTGAAACAGCTGAAAATCAACAAGGCATCTGGTCCTGATGAAGTGCCCTTCATCGTACTCAAAAAGTGTGCAAATGAACTCGCACCAGTACATTGCAGACTTTTCAAGGGTCTTACAAGGGGTTTTTCCTTCTTGTTGGAAGAATGCTCTCGTTCAGCCTATTCCCAAAAAGGGCAAGAAAAGTCTTCCAAATAACCATAGACCAGTCGCTTTGCTATCATTGATATCAAAAATCAGAAAGAAAGCCTTAAACGACCATATCCTCAAATATTTGCAAGGCTTCAACATCTTAAGCGATCATCAATATGGCTTTCGGTAACAAAAATCAACAGACGACTTTCTATCGTAGGTCACCCATATTTGAAATAACGCATTCGAGAAACATGGAGAGTCAAGAGCTGTTGCGCTTGATATTCCCAAGGCCTTTTACCGTATGGCATGCGGGTTTGCTGGCCAGACTTCGATGCTATGGCTTTCCGGATCACTTTTGTGTATGACTCCTTCCTGAAAAAACGTTTCCTACAAGTGGAAGTTGATGGATATCTCTCGAATAATTCCACCATCAACGCTGGTGTTCCTCGGGGATCCATATTGTCTCTAACCCTCTTTTTATTGTATATAAACAAATAATTGTGAAAACCAAGAATCCAATATATTGCTTTGCTGACGACAACACACTTGTTTCGTCATTACATTTGGATTCCAGGACATCGGCTGCGGATGCACATCTTCACCGGGAGCAGGAGGTTGAAAATTTCAATGAGGATCTAGAAGTAATTTCACAGGGGTGAAATTAACCAAGTTCAATTCAATGCCACAAAAACTCAGGCATTGGTTTTCTCGAAAGAGATAAATGTTTCCGAACCGGATATAATAATGTCAGGTCAGACAATTCTGCTATCTGCTTGTTGTTGGAGGTTAAAATGGACACCAGTATATCTTAGCACAGTCATGTCGCTGGAATTGCAGAGGCTGTTTCTCAAAAGCTTGAAACACTGTTCCGAACCAGAAAACTGTACACACCCAAGCAACTTTTGATACGTCATAAAGCTCAGAACAGACCTTCGAAAGGTTGGAAATTTGTCTCTCTTCTATAGATACTTTCACGGGAAGTATTCGAGGGACTTGGCACATTTTATTCCACTAAGAACGGTACATATCAGACATACGCTACAGACTGCTCATCGTTTTAAGGTTCAACTCAGTACACTCTGAACTTCACTGTTTAAGAACGCCGTTTATGTGGAATAAACTACCTGAGAACGTTTTTCCAAATGGATTCAATCTTTAGCGATTCAAATCCAATTTGAATCACTACTTATGCATAGGCAGAGCGTAAGTATTGATTACTTATCCTTAAGGCAGAGCGCCTCAAGGATTTTTCTGTAGTGCTTGTGTTTTGTCCTTAAAAAAAACTTCATGGAATAAACTCTAAAGTTGAGATGATTGTTATTCACTGCAAATCGTCTGACCCATGCTAGGACCCATGTAATTCGCAAGCTCGCCCAGAGGATTGTCGTTGTTGAGAGTACTACCAGTTGTATCACAAAAAAATTCCATCGATCCATTTTTTACATGAATTTGAATAATTATCATTTCAAGAATTTTGTCAAATGACAGTCCATTCAAACTCGATATTCACAATATTCACATAATATTCACAATAGTTATCTCAGAATTGCAATTTTCAAAAAATACTGTTCCACCCACATGAGAATATTTTTTGCAATTGAATAATATAGGGATATAACTTTCCAGAGACATGCACTTTATATCAACCACAGAAAACCAAGTATCGGCGAAACATGTAATATCGTTTTTTTTCCGTCAAACATTCTGTCAAATGATGTTTAGGACTCCTTACCAGAGGAGTTTATTTTAAAGCATACAACGATAAAAGTTACAATACATAAGCTATCTTCTCGTGTGGGTCAGCCAGTGAGGAAGGATTGAAGATTCTCTTGAATAAACATGAAAATATGTGTTCGCTCTACTGGGAAAATGTTTTGTCAAGCCCAACTAGTCCCCAACTAGTCATATACATAACTGAATAGAGAATATTCGCCTTTATAATTATTTTCATATTCAGGTTTTCATACTTTAGTTCAACTATTTTGTTCAATTTCCGTTAAAGATTTTTAACTTGAGCGCAAACGTTTGCTAACCTGCTCATGGGGGGTTTGTTCCTCCACCCGAGACAGATTCTGCGAACGCCTCTCAAGAATTTGGTGCAAGGCGTTTTCATAAGATACACTGATCTTGTGGAGACGACTCAGTCGTTTCCTGGCTACACCACCAACCCTTTTTTTCAAGGTCAGTTATTGGATCAGGAGTTGGAGAGTTGAGAAGCTCTCGCTCCTGATCTAAATTTACAGAGACGTCAGTTGGAGTTGTAAACTCGACATTCATCTCCTCTGTAGACTCAGCGTCAGAAATAATTTTTAAGTTCACTATGTCCATAGAAGTTACACGAGTAGGGAAAGAAGGTCAATTACGGCAGAGTCCCGCATTACTGTGATGAGGCGATGCTACGAAGAGAAGGCGCCCGATATCTCTGAGGTTCCGTAGAGTAGAGATAGCTGATAGGCTCATTGTCATTCATCCTCTCGGCACGGATACACACACCTTAGGATTAAGCCATCGTTGTGTTGCCAAACTTTCGTTAAGAATACAAACTGAGTAGAGAAACGTATCTTCTGTATAGTTCAGTGTTCATATTGTAGAAGTATTTGTTTCGAAAGAATTTTTTTCTTTCGTGTAATTCAATGTTTATATGAAAGTAGCTGTTTCAGGAGGGCTTTGTTCCAGTTTGTGTCTGAAAGTTGCTTCTTTGTATGATCTACACATCCTTGTATAGAGTTATGTAAGTATTTTCAAATTGATTACTTCCTTCCTTTATTTGGAAGATTCCCATATTTTTTGTATCAAGATGGAGTAGTAGAAAACCAAAAAATTTCTTCACCAAAAATTAATCACACCGTACAATTCAAATTATAGTGTTTTGATTTGAATTTTATTGTAAACGTTTTCTGTCTGAACGGAAATTTCCATTCCACCAGAATTTTAATTCAGTCCTGAAAATTGTAGATAATTTTTTGAATTTAATGTCCAATTGCTCAATCTGCATAATCTGATGACAACAAAATATAATCAATGTATACGACATTTCGGAAACACTTTTTTCTCAGAAATTCCGTATTTGGTTTCATTATTCTTGAAAATAAAAAAGGGGATAATTCATGCCGAATTTGTATTGATAATATAATTGAAGTCTCCTATTGTAAATGTAAATTCTTGTTAAGAAATACGTAATACTTTATTACAAAAATACATATGACAAAAGTGATAACAGAATGACAGACTTCACTGTCTACACACATCGGTAAAATATGACCTATACAGTGTGAAATATAAATGAACATATACAACATCTACGAAATTAAATCTCATGAGAATCTGTAACAGATATAAAGAAATGATAATTTTAAAGGTTCTATCATTCTGACAATCATCCTATGGGTCTTCAATTCAAAGTGCTAATCATATGTTATACTTAGTAATTCAGTGATTTCAGCATAAGTATCAATCTACGCAAACCAACCGAGTCATAATGATCATAATAATTATGAAACTATCAGATATGAACTAGTTCTTGCATTATTTAACCTTAACCATAACATTTGCTTATGATAAGTTCAAAGCAAATGTTATGAAACATATGATTTCCCTGTGAAAGTAACTTTGGCAGATTGATTCCATGTAAAAAATAAATACACATGATATCTTACTACACCCTCCTCCCTTTTGTGACTTTTTGCCAAACCCCCTTCCGCCTTTCAAGCCTCACTTAATTAATGGAAGGCCCCTTATTATATTGCCATCAGTGATATAAACTTTACAGAGTAAACCTCATATCGAGAGTAGGTGTGAATTGTATTTAGATATATACGCAATAATATTCATTGCAAATATTACGGGGCTTATTGTAAACAACCTTGGATGAAAACCAAAATAAAAAAACAAGAAAGTACAGAACGCCTGCATTAGACTAATATTCATCTTGAATTACAGAGATTATGTGACCCCTTCCATCAATCAACTCAATTGGTTGAAAATGCAAAACAGATGAGAATTGCATTCAGCTTGTTTCATCCTTCCCAGACATCAGATATACTCAAGAAACCTTAGATTTAACAATCATTTTGACAACAATCATTTGATTAACAATCATTCAGTGAATCTTTGAAAAATTCATCACTACCGCTATTCAAAAGTAAAACATCGACAGTTACTGAAAAAAAGCGCCTTGACTTACAGATGTTTCCAAAGAGATGATGTCCATTAGGGAAGTACACAAACCAAGCTATGAAAAAAGAAAAGCGGGCATATTTTGCTCATGTTTACAATAACAAAAGTCAAGGTCTAATGATGTTTCACTACAGAAATCTTTGGATATTCTCATGAGGCTAAAAACTCCAAATGAGGTTAACCAATATTTCATCAATTCATTACCTGTGAATGATACACCACAGAAATGTTGCAGTCTATTCAAATAATGAAATGTATAAACAAAATTTTGTATTTAAGGAAGTTGATGATTTATTCGTGTATCGAACGTTATTTTCTATGAGAATGAGGACTGTAGCTTGCGATGACATGAATATTAATTTAATTTGATAATGCTGTAACATGGTATATAAAAATATTGGTATAATGTCGATTACTGCTTTACAAATAATGTTTTCCCTTTTAATGGAGGAGTGCAATTGTAAATGTGCTCCCAAAGATAGGTAGTCCAGCTGATTTTAAAGATCTCAGAGCGATCAATATTTTACCAACTCCATAAAGAATGAATGTTGGGAAGAGTAGTAAAGTTTCCGATAAGGGAACATCTTGAGAAATTTTCAATATCATCCTCCATCCAGTCAGGTTAACCTCAAATTCAATCAGCAGCTTTCAGTGATGTGAAATATACTTNGCCCATCAAGACGCCCAGGAATGCCTCCGATATATTTTAGAATGTCGACATGAGAACTTCAATGGAATTACTGAGGAACCTAAACCTTAACGGAGATTGACGAAAAATTGAGCGATAGCGGAAAAGCGCAAAAGTCCTGACTGAGATACTTGAACATGAACAAAATTGTAGACAATTTCGTTGGTCAAAAAAATCTACTATGAAATGTACACACTGTGGATACTCATCAGTAACCTTTGATCCTTTCTGGGATTTGTCTCTCCCCATATCACAAAGAACTTGCTAATTGAGTTTGTCACAATGTATGGATTTCTTCACAAAAGAGGAAACCCTGGATGGAGATGAAAAACCAACGAGGTGTAAGGAAAGAAGAAAATGTACCAAGTTCCTAGCAATTCATAAGTTTACCCGTATTTTAGTAATTCATTTGAAATGATCATCTGCAACGGAAAGATTCAGTGTCAAATTGAATGTTGTCATTGACTTTTTTTCAGAAGGATTAGATATGAGCAATTATGCAGCAGACAATGTGGATCCTTGTCGTTACAATCTATATGCACTTTCGAATCACAGTGGGACTACTTACAACGGGCATTACACATCATATTGCAGACATCCTTGTAGTGGCACCTTGAATGAATACAACGATTCACACGTGTCCCCATTTTCATGAAAATCGCTTGTGAGTGAGGAGGCATATGTCCTCTTTTATGAACAGGAGGGAACAAAGCAGCACTTTTGAGGTTTTTTTTCTCTCTTTTGATAAGCTAAATTCTATTAATTGATTTGTATTTCATGATTCTTCGGATAATAAATGTTTTATCGTTTCCCAAAAAAAAAATCAGCGGTAGTTTTTGGAATATTTGTCAGAAACTAGAATTGTCGTATTTCGTTTTTTGGCTCTACCGTCCCCATTTTGTATGTTATGAAAAAAAAAAGAGATGAACTTTCATTACCGTCCCATATTTGTTATACTTGTGTGGTGTGTGTTATATATGTCTGGAATTGGCCTGAATGAACTCCTATTATATTATTGACTTGAACTACTTCACTATATATTGTTTCAAGTTCTTACCATAATTTCTTATTTGCGGATAGAGAGGGTGAAGCAGTGGCCTATGTTCCGTTAAATTCAGCAAAAGGTTCAGCATATTTCCAATCAATTGATGACTTCCATTGATGACTGGTAGGAAAACAATCAACATCGCATTTTGGAAGTAACATGTTTGCTGTAAAAGTACGTCATTCTAATAAAAGGACTGCTTTCAAACACCAGAGTTACCAAAAATCAATTCATTAGATACAGAAAATGAACTTCCCAATATTGAAAATATTATTCATTATAATTTATTCAAATGCCACCTCATCGAAAATTTTCAATGTACAGTTTACGAAACACGTGTTGCGGTTTTGTAAACTGTCCACCGAAAATATCACAATGAATTGTAACTATCATTATTACCGAAACTATATTATTATGATTTATATTCAATTATTCAATGAAACGTTGAAACATCTCAAATTTGATAAAAATAGGATATAATTTTGATCATTCGTTGCCGTTCTTCCACGATTTGAGAGTTTTGAATTGAAATGTTTCTTTTTTTAGTTATCGATGTAGTTAGACGCAATCTTTTGTATGTTACAATTTAATATGGAACACCATACAGATCTTCACTTGACCAATAAAATTTTTTTGTTTCACTATAGTTTAACAAATGGTTTCGTCCTTGCCAAATTAAATAATAGTTTTCAAAATATTTTTTCGTGTTATAAGGAATCCAAAATAAGCGATATTTCTTCTGGTGTCGATGTTGTGGACTAGAGACAAATACATTGTTTATCTCAGTAGTCATTAATGAATGTTATTTTTGTCACTGCCATATCAATTTTTTTACTGAATCAGTGGGGATTCTGCCTACTCACAAGTAGATAAAGTATAGGAATTCTGTGACACCGGATATTCAACTAACAGAAGCAATGAAGAAGGTAGAGCTCTGAACGGCCAGTGTTTGCGGTAACGATATCGCTGTTTGAAAGACAACGATTGCAGTGTGCTTATGAGAGCAATAATGTTAGGTGTACACGGTGTTGTTTCAAAACACATCAATCAAATTGTACACAAGGTGTACACAGCGTTAAAAAAAACATGACTGCCTGCGTTGAAGCGAGAAGCATGCCTGCAACGTTGAAAAAAGACATGGCTGCTATGGAGGTATACAGGTTGTGTTTGCAGCGTTGAAGAAAAGTTATCATGGAGGTATACAGGGTGTGCACAGCGTCAAAGAAAAGAACATGGTATACATATTGTGTGCAGCGTTGAAGAAAAAAAACATGTCTGCTAACGTAACGTAATGATGATGGTGACCAATATATGAATTAACAAAGTTTCGGATCTTTACGATTCATCGAAAAATAAACACTTCCGGTTCATAAACATTGAGATGAAAACTAATGGTGAATTCGAATTTCCCATATGAAGGAGAGTCCGAATCTACAATGACATGAACATTTCCAGTTGTCACTTTCGGGCTTCAGATTACGATAATTTCGACATCAATGGGTTCATTTCGATGTAAAGAAACATATTTGAGCATTTGAAGAAGTGTACAAGGCATAGGAGGCTAACTTTATTATTAGATTGGAGGGGCATGTGGATACTCTAACATTACAAATTTTACTGGAGAACATGGAAATGAAAAGCATAGGTTTGTAGCATGCCTTTTATTTATTTGGTAGTATATTATAAAACAATTTATATCAAATATCGACATTATTGATACTGCAGCTGAACGGATGTCCTTCGGAATGATTCAAAACACCTCATTGAAAAATTCAGGTGGCGTGAGATCGCGTGAACTAGGTGGCCAATGCCACAGCCCTGAACGCGTGAACCAACGATTGTGAAACATTTCGAAGAGTATGAAAATACACCATTTAAGAAAAAAATGGTATCGATATGTATGTGGTGGCTCAAAATACATCATTTAAGAAAAAAGCATAATGTCAAGGTGTACAAGATGTTGCAAAAATACATTATTTGGGAAAAAACATGACACACCCTGTATACCGCAACGGCAGCCATATTTTTTTCTTTAACTCAAGCAGCCATGTTTTTTCTTCAACGCTGCGTACACCTTGTATACCATTTGATTGATGTGTTTTGAAACAACACTTTGTACACCTAATATTGTTGCTCTCATAAGCACACTCAAATCGATATCTCTCAATCAGCGATAACGTTACCGCACACACTGGCCATTCAGTGCTCTACGTTCTTCATTGCTTCTGTTAGTTGAATATCCGGTGTCACATAATCCCTATAGTTCATCTACTCTCATACTTTTTCTTCTACTGAGTTGGTGAAGATTTTGTCAACAACCACTTTTTCTTGATTCAAATATGAGCGATTCAGAATCAAGTTGAAACTATGAATGTGACTTTTGTTGAAAAAGATCCCGATGCCGTGACAATAATTTACATTATTTTGCGCAAAATATTCCATTTGAAGTTGTAGTGAAAACTAATTGTGGATTGAAAGAGTATGTAGATGAACGGAAATTCCAAATAAAAATGGTGGGCCATCTGCAATACCAAACTCAATCAACTGATTGCTAACAAAATGAGTGATTTTGGTGTAAAAGGACTAAATACAGAAATCCATAGCCTGAAATTCCATAACGTATTCAAAAAACACTTCATTGTGAGATTTTCATTGAACAATTTTACAAAAACTCAACACGTGTTTCGCAATACGATAGCTTCTTCGGGCGTGTCTATAGACACACCCAAAAAAGCAATCTCAACATTGTCAAGACAAAAAAAAGCACGCGAAGTTCTATCAAATGTCAAGGTTTTGCTGACGGTTTTTTCGATTACTGTGGCTAAGTGTATCAGGTACGGTCAATGAAGAGTATCATCCTGAAGTCAAGCGATGCTTGCAAGAAGCAATACGAAGAAAACGTCGGGTATTGTGGAGAAATAACTCATGGTTTTTGCATCACGATAATGCACATGCTCACTCGTCATTGATAAACTAAAGCAAAATAATCAAAGATGCATTGACCATAAGATGAATAGTTCTCACAATAAATCAAAAACCATGTGGCAAACTATAAATAATATCAAGAAAAAAAACTATGAGCCCAAACATATTTCCATTATTAGTGGAGAACATAAGGTGCCATGTGTTGACATGGCTAACAATTTTAATGCTCATTTCACGAAAGCGGAAGAACAAAGAGAATATGATCTCTCTACCCAATCAAGGAATATGAGGTTTTTGATTTGATAAATGAATTAAAGAATTCTAATGCTAGAGGATATGATCAGGTCTCAAACAATCTTCTATTTTGCATGGAAGG